ATAACCATCTATATATAAGTATGCTATTGCAAGCTGAAATGGGTTTTCAAAATGAGGGTGATGTTGCACGAGTTTGGTCAACACCTGTATAGTATGATACCGAAATAATACAAAGATTGATAGGATAAATCCATCCTGAACCACGTGGGTTTACGACGTTACCGAGACACTATGATGTGCCTGCAAAATCGTTTACGGAACTACCGACTAGCAGTTTGGTCTTCAGCTATTGAAACGAGAACGACAAGTTAGGTTGCACAATTTTTATGGTCACAAGAGCATGTATACGCTCAATAAGCTTCTCAACAAGGAGGCCTATATTGTTGAAGTAAAACAATAATTAAGTGTAGCGGGTCAGTCAGTTAATAACCAGGAACCGGTGGGGGAATGAGTTCATAAAAGTGAGGAAAAGCAGAATTCTAGTAACAAACATGTCGATGATAGTTAAATGTCATTTGAATAGATAGTTTTGGGTCAAGAGACATTCCTTAGGGTACTTTTGAACACTTGAGTTTCGTTGATGCATCTTATTGATTTCCATCAGTTGGCGTTATAAACGCGGGACATCGTTTTGAACCTCCTCGTTGAAGATCTATCGGTCTTCTCTAATGTCGTGATGCTTGAAAAAGTGTTTGCATTCGTTTCTACCTCCAGGTGCCTACTATTCCTTTTAAATTGCATTTTTGCTTCCAATAAATCACTGACCTACTCATGTGCTGTTCAATTATTCCTAATCCCATCCCAGGTTGACATTGTCTTGCCAATGGGTATGTGTCTGAAGGAAGCACACGATATTGGAGAAGAATTGCAAAAGAAATTGGAACGTCTGGAAAATGTAGAGCGTGCATTTGTTCATTTGGACTACGAGTTTACACATCATCCGGAAAGCGAGCACAAAATTGCGTAAAGCGTTGCAATGCAAACTATTTATTTGGCGCCATTCCCCGTTTGGATTTGCGTTATTTCACATTCGTCACTACATTCTTCTCCGAGAAATCCGCATTCGATCGTTGAATGGAATGAAGTGGTAAACTAATCACGCGGAGATTCCATCCGCCTTGTGCCTTTCCTGAAATTCCATTTGATTGAATCGATTCCCATTGCACTGCCTGTTCTCGGGCCGCTGAATCTGAACTCTATTATAGTAATGACAATTTTGAGCAAACGATTGCTCAACTGTGACCAATTTTCCTCATGTCACTACAATCTAATTTGCGTCCATCCCCGACAATCATCATAAACTATCTAATGCAAATCAAACCTCATTATTGACACGCAATTTAGTGGCCTGGCATAAACAATGTTTGAATTCATTTCTTCTCGTGACAGATTTATATTCCCATGATTTTCAACACGCACATGTTTTTTCTTATCGTCCTACGAGATTGTTGGATTCCTCATTTTATTCTATTTGTTGATATCCACACGACAACTTTTGTCCTACTCAATTTTTATCGTCTGTCAGGTCGTAATAGAAAATGTTTCACTATCGGTTGACAGCGTTTTTATTCACTTTTAAAACAGGAATCAGCGTGATCCGCTTATTCTTCACACATTTGTTTCATTGCATGTGACTAACGGATTATACGTTTAAAAAGGAGGCGGGTGGTTTGTGAAGGTAGCTCCGCAGGGGCTATGAATCCAGATAAACGTCTGCATAATAAATCGCAAGTGAAATTAACTATGAATAATATTTTCAAATGAGTGAGGCCATCGTTTTCAAACCACAAAATTGCCATCACAAGACTGCACCTTGACATGGCGTGCTGGCTCGCGTGTCTCCATGACCTTGTAGTATATACACGATGGCTCTTCACAACCGCAGACCCAATACCTGAATGCTAAGGCCAGACAAAGCTCAATCTCACAAGGCCAGCTGCTTTGGTAACTCCTGAATTCCTTGGACTACCCACTGGAGCCTTTGGCTCCACTTGGGGTTCCCAACGAAAAACCCTTTAATCGGTATGAGCTACCACGAAATATACTGTGCCCTTAAGTCTTCTTCAACCATTTGGAAAACCCTCCCTATTTGTCCAGTTCTTCATCACAATCCCTGATTTTAGAAGATGCCTGCTGTTTGCACCACCTATGGGATGTCATTCAGCGTTCAACCAGTAAGATCAACCAAACAAAAGCTATCACACCTTAGAAGCCAAAATCTTCTTTTCACTTAGCCGCATTTAATTTCCGCACGCTTTATCAGATAGACCAAAAAGCTGTCTTGGCTGTCTGGAAACTTTCAATTTAGATGCATGCTGTCTCCAGAACACGCATACAAAATCCTTCTTGAATGATCACTTAGCGTTTGCCAGATTTGACCTCATCCTCGTGCTTGACTATTCATGAGTCAGGCGATTTGACATTTGATGCTTGCAGTGTTGCTTGTACCGGGATTTCACTAATTATTAATGTTAAGCGCTCACGTTTTGACTAAATTCCGGTAAGTAGACTACTTTGCGCTGTGTCTCTGCGGTTCAAATGGGGTCAACAACTACAGAATCAACGATGCGTATTCGGTGTATCGTGTATACACCGAGTGATTGAGGTTCGCTTAAAACTACTACTCCAAAGTGTTCGCTCAAATGACATTGGGGTAGTCGCTGGTGTCTTCCATGTTCAAATGGTATCCATGGATGAATGAAGAAGATTTGTTGGCGGACCACATACAATCCCAGCCAACCACATAGACAATGAAGACCGCCTACTTTAACAGAGTGTTAACTACAGCTTGTTTCTATGACGCACCAACTTTCTGCAGAAGAAATAACACCACCATGCTTGGAAACCGCCAACTTCTTTACAGCGATGGATTTTATTTGACCAGCACCAACAGCTACCTCTGGTGAAGATTGCTGCTCATACTTGTCTTTTAACTTCTCGCTGGCATTATACCTCGATGATTGTCTGCCGCACCCGTGATTAGAGACATCGAATGGCATAGTGTGGGTAACGGTGGCGCTCTTGCGTCTAGTCCTCATCCGCGCAACCTCAGTCTAAATGAAATTGCTATTTTCTGTTGGACACTTCCAACTGTCTTCTCTGAAATCTATTTGGCAGCAACCAAATCCGGCATAAGAAAGCATACAGTTAATAGTTTTCAAAAAGACAAGGCCTGGAATTAAGCAAAAGTTATTTGAGTTAGACTATCTTGCTCACAGCTCCTTTGGCTTTGATTAACAATTATCCGTGAAAACCACCTGAACCCATACTAGATAAATCAGGAGTCCTTTTGATATGAATAATTTCACTAAGCCCGAAATAGTAATAAATGAAGGAACTCCGCAACCTACGCTTGGGTCGAATTTCTCATTCCATTTTCCACTTCGTTTGTCTGTAACTCTATATTTGAAATTGGATTTAATCGAAAGTGTATTCCAGTCGACTTGCTTAACGCGGTTCTGATTTGTTGACTCTTCATGAATAATGTACTCATTAAGTTCAAGATTCTTTGTAACAGGGCGAAACTGGCCAGGTCCCAGCAGACTGCACCTGATCTAACACGAAGGTGTGTGTGTGTGCGTGATGCCAAATCGGCAGTCAGTCATAAGACAGGAACCGAAACCAATGCACGAAAGTGCATGGCTAATGGTTGTCAAAACTGAATTGAACTGGACGACAAGTATGATTGACACACACGATATAGGCCTTTTTAATCACTTGAATTTCTAAAACTAATGGTTATTTGAGCCAGGACGCATAGGTATATAAATGAATTTACCGCATTCTTTCCGATGAGGGTTCTAGTTAGCCTGAATCCAGCCCGTCACAAACTTTTGCAAGCTGACTACAAAAATAACAGAAAATGATTGCTCTCGTACTCAAGCTGTCCTGTCAGTCAAGTCATGAAACGCTTTATGTGAATTTTCATGTTTATATTGATTGCGTAACAGAGTTCTTCAACACTAATGGAGCTCAATGCAATCGGTTGGCGATGGGAATAGAACCAACTCTGAAATCTTGTGGGGCACAAGCGAATATCGGTGTATTCACGATCGACAGCAGGCTCTGTGAGGAATCACCTTGAAACTTCAAGTATGCTCAGGCTCACATGAAGATCAGTCTCAACGACATAACCCTAACTTGTGGGCGAAACAAACTCGATCCATTGGTCGAATGAAGGTAGACTGCAGGAAGCTTGAGATCACTTCCCTAGTTTGACGTTGCGTTGCAAGTCAATGAATGATTGAAATAACTTCGACTACTTGTAAAACCGATTAGATTGGAACCTACTGTCCATCAGACTTCATCGTCACGAACAGTCCTCAGTTCATCTAGTCATCCTGCATGGAATTACTGACTTAATGAGCGGCTTTCGCATGGAGTTAAGCGGTAGTCAACTATATCTCCATTTATTTTTTTTTTCGGGCCAGCTGACTAACGGATTATCATCGAAGACGCCATCTTATCAAACAGGAATTGGTACTTTTAGTCAGCCCCGGTGTGGGCTGGTTGGCAC